TTTTTGGATCCCATTAACTCCTATTTTTTATACTAGGGTTCACTCATATGAGTTCAAAATGTTTCGCCCATGAACATGATCTCTAGTTGCATCCATTTACCTACAAGATCCTTGAGATTATTCTAATTTATAGCTGGGTAGCTTTCCATTGTATGAAATTGTCCCATATTTCTTATCCATTCTATAGTTGATGGGCAAGTAACCCTTGCTTTTATTCTGGTCTCCTATCACATGGAAGAACTGTTTTCTCTCCTTTGATTGAATTTCCTTTCAATTTAAATGTGTTTCTTTTATACAGTATATTGATGGATCTTGGTTCTTGATCCATTCTCCCTGTGTTGCTTTTCATTGCTGAATTGAGGTGATCTACATTAATGGTTACAACTAGCATACATTGGTTTGTCTCTGCCATGCTATCCTGCTGTTGGCCCTGCATTTTTCCCCTTCATTCAGTTGTCTGTTGTGTTTGGCAGTCCTCCTCTGCTGCTGTTCCTGGACCGTGATCATCTTTCTCTCTCTCTAGAATATCCTTCAGCACTCTCTGTAAGATTGGTTTGGTGGTCATGAATTCCGTTGGTTACTCTGTGTCATGGAAGTATCTTATTTTTCTGTCAATTTTGAAAGAGAATTTTTCAAGATACATTAGTCTGGGTTGGAAATTGTTTTCTTTCAGGATTTGAAACACTTCATTCCAAACTCTTTTTGACTCCATGGTTTATGTTGACAACTCTGTGATTCTAGTTATTCTGTTCCAGTGCTGGATTTCTGGGAGCTTGACTATTGGAAAGGTGTTTCTTTTTGCTCACAGTATCACCAGCATTTGTTATTGGTTGACTTCTTGATGTGGCTACTTTTTTTTAGAGTGAGATCAAATCTCAGGGTGGTTTTAATTTGCTTTTCTGGAATGACTAGTCATATTGTACGTTTTTATCATGTATTAATTTGCTGTTTATACTTCTTGATCTGGGAAATATGTATTCATTTCAGATGACCATTTTTGGATTGGTTCTTTAAATTTGGAAGGCTTTAGGAGGTTTTTTTAGTGCTTTATATTTTCTGGATATTAGTGTTCTGTCTGAAGAGAAAGTGATAAAAATTTGTCTCAATATCTGGGTTGCTTCTTCATTGAATTGATGGTTTCTTTCACTGTGCAAAATCTTTTTAATTTTCTTTTTGGTACCAGGGATTGAACCCATCACTTTGATCTTGCCAGGTAGGTGCTTGTGCCACTGAGCTAAACCCCCAGCCCAAAACCTTTTTAATTTGATGTGATCCCCAATGTGATTCTTTGTAGTATTTCCTGTGCAATTGGGCTGTTCTTCATAAGTTTTTGGCTACACATATGTCTTCAAGAGGTTTAATTGTTTTTTCTTCTGCCAGACTTTTAGATTTTTGATCCTTTTTGATTTTAGTTTCATGCATGGTGATAAATATTGTGTGGGTCTAGTTTTAATCTTTGACATGTGGAAAGCCACTTTTCCCAGCATCATTTTTAAAAGGTGTTTGGTGCCTTTGTTGCATGTAGGATAGGTGAGTGTGCATCTTCTATTTTGTTTCTTTCATCCTTGAGTCTGCGTTTGGTTTGCTTTGGTTTGGTTTTCTTTTGCTAGTACCATGCTGTTTTTATCACACTAGCTCTATAGTAGAACTTCTGATCAGGGATGGTGACACACCCTACTTTGTCTTTGTTGCTCATAATTGCTTTTACTATTCTACATTTCTTCCAGTTCCATTGTTACAGCATTCTCAAGACATTAACCCATAGGATAAAAAGTTCCAGAAAAAAGTGAGGTTTATTTCAAACTTCAGTGGTCAAGTAGCTTTTGCCATTGAAACTAGTGGTTACTGGTTACTGGCTGACCTGTATTCCTTTGTTTCCTTCTGTTATAAATCCCTAGATGAGTTCACAAGGTCATGGGGTTCCAGTGGACACCACCTTTCACAGCACTATCATTGCCTTGGAATGTTACAAACCCCTCTTATGCATCTTGTTAATTGACACTGATCCTGAGTGTGGACACCAGGCATTTTGGTGCCTTGAGATAAACCCATTTGTTTCCTTTTCTGTAATTTTTATAGTTAAAGAGAGTAGGAGGCTTTTTGGGGATTTGACAAAAGTTCACTTGCTGTTTGAGGTCTAACTGTTAACTAGGTGTCTAAACAATAATGTATGGGCCTTAAAATATGTATATTTTCAAGACTAGGGTTTCTGGATTTCAAAAGGAAAAAAGACAGAGGCAAAAAATCAAATAGTGGAAGTTATGAATATCTTCACAGCATTTTAGGAATTTTAGAGTTTCTATGTGTAGTTCTATGAGATATACTGTTGCCATTTTGACTGAGATTTCATTAAATCTGAAAAAAAGTTTTGGAAATATGGTCATTTTGACTATATTGGTTCTACCTACCCAGGTACAGGGAATATCTGTACATTTTCTGACATCTTTTTTGAACACCTTTTTCAGCATACTGTAGTTTTCAATGTAAAAGTCTTCCACTTTCTTCATTAGATTGATTCCTAAGTATTCCATTTCCTTTGATGCTCTTGTGGAAGTTGTTTTTGCTCTAATTCTCTCAGTGTCATTTTTATTTGTATATAGGAACTCTGTTAATTTCTTAATGTTGTCTTTGTATCCTACTACACTGCTGAAATTGGTTATTCTAGGAAGTGTTGGAGTTTTATGGTTTTCTATCATGTAATCAGCAAATGATAAGTTAATTTCTTTCTTTTCTATCCATATTCCTCTTTCCAGAACTATATTAAACAAGAGTGGTGATAGTGGATATCCTTGTCTTGTTCCTGCTTTGAAAACAAAAGCTAACTATTTTTTTTACCATTTAATATAATGTGGGTATTGATTTATCATAGATGGCTTTTATCAAATTGAGATAAAGTCCTTCTATCCTATTCCATGTTTTCATCATGAATATGTGTTGGACTTTGTCTGGTACTTTTTTCCTCTTCTGTTGAGATGTTCGTATGGTTTTTATTCTTGCTTCTGTTAAAACATTGTGTTGTAGACTACTGAGTTAGATAGAAATATTATAGGCAGTCAGACAGGACTAGGACCATGAAGGATTCCTGGCAAAAGACCAGATACCTTGCAACTATGGGAGAAAACAAACAGCTCCCTCTGCAGGCTAGATCTCAAAACAAAAGACAAAACAGATGCAGCCACTCCTTAAGGATAAACATCTGGTATTCATATTCTAAATATGTATCCACCACCTTGAGGAGCCAGTAATCTAACCCTTTACAGGCCAAGGCCCTATTCTGTATTCATGCCCACTTACTGCCTGACTTGTTTCCCCATTTGTTCACGGTGTAAATAATTTTGCCTGAGAAATTATACTTGTAATCTTTTTGGTTGACCATAGTTGTGCTCACCTCATGCCCACCTTGTGAGTTCCCATTTTTCCCCACGTTGAACTCACCTCACCTTATGACTTTGCTCTATAAAAATTACTAAATATGGCAGGATCCTCAGCAACCTACTTGGGACCCCTTCTGTCTCTCTTGCTAAGTCAACAACTTTCTCTCAATAAATGTGTTTATGTCTCAGCCTCCATTGTTTGTAAAATTAATTCTTTTGTTTTAGGGAACATAAACTTGCCAGACATCTAGTGGGTTGGGATTTTCTTTTGTATTTATTAATTTGCATATATATGGTGAACCATCCTTGTATCATTAGAATGAATCCTACTTCTTCATGGTTTATAGTCTTCTTGGTGATTTGTTACACATTGACTGCTAATATTTTATTAAGAATTTTTGCATCTATGTTCATTAAGGAGATTGCCTCTTAGTTTCTTTTTTGGTTGCGTTCTTCTCTGGTTTTGGTGTCAGGATAAAATGCTTGCTTCCAAGAATGAGTTTGGGAGCACTGTTTCCCTTTCTATTTCATTGAATGGTTTGAGGAGTAGTGACACTAGATCTTCTCTAAAGTTTTTATAGAATTCAACAGTGAATCCATCAGGACTGGGAATTTTCTTTGTTGGCAGTTTATTATGACTTCTTCAATTTTGTTAACTGATATTTGGTTATTTAGAATTTTTATATCTTCTTGATTCAGCTTTCATAATTCATATGTATCTAGGAATCAATCCGTTTTTTTCTGAATTGTCCATCTTGTTAGAGTACAAGTTCTCAGAGTACATACTGATGGACTTCTACTTTACTGCAGGATCCATTTTAACATTACCCTTTTCATTCTTAATTACATGGATTTTTGTCTTTTCTGTCCTTGCTTTTATAAGGTTGACTAAGAGTTTGTCTATTTTATTCTTTCAAAGAAATAAGTCTTCTATTAAGTGATTCTTTTTGTTTTCTTATTCTCAATAGTATTTATTTCTGCTCTAAATTTTACAGTTTCCTTCCTTATATGATCTTTGCTTTAAAATTTTTCTTTTTCTAGAATCTTAAAAATCAACATTAGGTTATTTGTGTGATATTGTACTATTTTTCTCATGTGGGAATTCACTGCTAATAACTTTCCTTTTATGACTGGCAATGTATCTAATAAGTTCCTACATATCATATTGACATTATTCCATTGTCGACTGTCTAATTTCTTTTTTATTTCATCTGTGACCCATTTTTTATTCATTAGGGAATTATTTAATTTCCATGTGTTTATGCAGTATTTGTGGTCTCTTTTGTCATTAATTTCCATTCTCATTTTACTGTGATCTGATAATATGCATGAGATAAGTTTAATGTCTTCACATTTACTTAAGCATGTTCTATGAGCTAGCATTTGGTCTGTTTTTCAGAAAATTCAATTTTGCTGCTGAAGTGAGTATGTATTCTGTGTTTGTTGGGTGGAGCAGTGTAGATATCTACTGATTCCATTTTTTCAAAAGCGTGGTTCAGCTCTGATATTTCTTTATTGATTTTTTTTTTTTTGTCTAGTTGATCTATTTGTGATACTTGGGTGTTGTGGTCCCCCATTACAATTTTATTAGTGCTTATCTGATTTTTATTTTTTTTTATTTTAAAGAGAATAAAGCAAAACAGAACAAAGCATATCAGAACAAAACAAAGCAAGCAACAAGGACTTCACAACATGACAACTGGAAATCAACAGTGGCCTCCATAATGTTTCTTCAAAATAGTTGTCCATGTCTTTACACACAATGAATTCAAACCAACGTAGTGCAAACCTAATTAAAACAAAAGAATGATAGCATTATGGCATTCAAAACTATACAATAGGAAAATTGCTACCATAATGTTTCTTGTTTTCTTCTAAACAGCTGGCCATGCCTTCACACATGTTGAAATTAAACAATAGAAAACAGACTAAAACCAATCAAAGCAAAAAATGAAAACATTATTGGACTTCAAAACAAAATGATGACATAATATGTCATTTTCTTCAAAGTAGGAGTTCATACCATCACATGTAATAAAAACAATACTTATAAACTCTTCAGGAGGAGTTCTAGGCATGTCTAAGCCTCTACATGTACATCAATTCTTTCTGTACTGGAGGGAAAAACAAAACAAAATACAAGAAAAAAAGAAAAAAAAGAGATAAATAAATGACAGTAACAAAGAGCCCCAGTAAGAACAAAATAGGCTTTAAAAACAAGGTGGTAGGAACATAACAAAGATTTTTATTCTGCATAGTTATCTTCAAAAGAGCTACTCAGATTACCAGATATAGACATGAAAAATTATTCCAAGAATTAATAGAATTAGTAGTACAATCATCTTAGCTATTTTATGTGTATATATACAAATTTGTATCTTTTTTTGTTTTCTCATACTTTTCCTTTTCCCTGACTTATTTTTCCCCTTTGAGCAGTTTCTATCCTTTCACAATGTTTATTGAAGATGTTGTGTCAATAGAGCCAAAAATGACTCACAACATTAATAGAACAGAAAAACTTTTGATGAAACACAACACTCATTCATGATAAGAACCCTACTGAAAATAGGAATAAATGGTCTTTACCTCAATCTGATAAAAATTGTCTATGACTTGCCAACAGCGAGCATCATATTAAATGGTGAGAAACTAAAAGCTTTCACTATAAAATCAGGAATAAAGCAAGAATGTACATGATCACTACTCCTATTCAATATAGTTCTGGGAACACAGCAAGAGCAATTAGAAAAGAGAGAAATCAAAGAACTAAGGATAAGAAAGGAAGAAGTTATATTATGATTATTTACAGATGAAATGATAGTCTACAGAGAAGACCCCCAAAACTTCATTGAAAGACTTGTAGATGTGATAACCAAGTTCAGTAATGTAGCTGGATACAAAGTCAACACTCAAAAATCAATAGCATTCCTCTAAACAAACAACAAACTCCCTGAGAGAGAAATATGAGAAACCACACACTTTACAATGTCATCCAGAAAAATGAAATAATCTAGCAAAGGAAGTGAAAGATATATTCAGTGAAAATTACAGCACTCTGGAAAAAAATTGAAGAGGATCTGAGAAAATGGAAAGACATTTCTTGTTCATGGATAAGAAGAGCAAACATTCTGATAATGGCCATTTTCCTAAAATTGTTATACAGATCTAATGCAATTCCAATCAAAATACCATAAGTATACTTCAAAGATCTAAAGAAATCATTGCTAAAATTCATCTGGAACCAAAAGAGACCAAAAGAGCAAATGCAATTCTGGGCAACAAGGACAAGGCAGGAGACATCACAATCCCTGACTTGAAGTTATATGACAAAGCTATGATGATAAAATCAGCATGGCACCTGAATGAAAATAGACCTGAACATCAATGGAATAGGTTAGAAGATACAATCACAACTGCAAATACACTCGGCCACCATTTTTGACAAAAGGGCTAAACATGTTCCCTGGAATAAAGACCCTTAATAAGTAATAAGTGGTGCTTGGAAACCTGGCTTTCCATATGCCAAAAACTAAAACTAGAACCATGCCTGTCACTAGGCACTAAAGTCAAAATGGATCAAAGATATAAATGTTAAAACAGCAACATTAAATCTGCTGGGAGACAGAGTAGGTAGAAATCTTGAAGACATAGGGGTAGGCAGAGAATTCATGAACAAAAATCAAAATGTGTGGGAAATACAACTCAGAATCAACAGTTCAAATCTCTTATTAGAAGGTTTTTACATATTAAAAAGTTATCTGATTTTTCATATGCATATAGGTCTTGTATACATGGATGTGCTAGAATATGATGTGTATATATTTATGATTGTTGTCCTTTTTTCTGGGATTGTTCCCATAACAAGTATGTAGAGACTATTGTGTCTTATGTGCAGTCTTGTCTTGAAATACACTTTGTCTGGACATAAAATAGTCATTCATCCTTTTGTGGGGGCTCCTGTTACATGGACTATTGTTTTCATTTTTGACTTTCAATATATGATAGTGATAGCAATATTTTAAAGCTTCCCATGATATAAATAGCCCACTGTTGCATGTGTTTCATAGATTTGCTACCACCAATCTATGATTTTGTTGTTTGAGTTAAATGTTTCTTTTTGTGAAGGATGTTGTTGGATTTTGATTCTTGTTGCATTCTGCCAATTTGTTTCTTTTGATGGTTGAGTTGAGACCATTTATATTGATATATAAACTGACAGTTATTTCTCCTTATCATTATATTGTGTTCCTGACGTTGATTCCCTTTCTTTCCCTTCTATTCAATTGCTGGCCTCTCCTGGTAGATTCATTCTTTTCGAAGTTTTTAATAGTTGTCTTCATTGATGTAGAATATTCTTCACAATCCATTTTGGGATTGCTGGTTTTGTGATCCTGAATTACTTCAGGAGTTCTTTATCAGTGAAATATCTTATTTTTCCATGAATTTTGAAAGATAATTTTGCAGGGTACACCAATCTTAGTTCAGGGTTATTTTCTTTAAGGAATTGAGATACTTCACCAAGCTCTTCTTGACTTACGGGTTTGTGTTAAGAAATCTGCTGTGATTCTGTTGCGTTTTCTTTTATAGATGATTCCTTTCTTTTCTCTAGCACTCTCAATATTGTGTTTATTTGTTGTACTTCTAGAATCTGGACTATAATATGTTTTGGTGTAACTTTTTTTCCCCTGGTGGCTATTTAGATTTGCAAATGTCTCAGTTATCTGTCTATAAATTCTTGGTCTCTGCTCGGAAATTTTTCTACTATTATTTATATAAAGTAGATTTTTATGCACATTTGTTGTCTTCTGCTTTTTAAATTGATTTTAATTAATCTTATATTATTATTCTTGGCATCATCTACTAGCTGTTAGGTTAATTTTTCATGGTCCCTTGCTCTTTTTATGAATGCATTCATTTGATGATCCCTAGTCAAAACCTTGTCTTTTAGATCTGATATTTTATCTTTGTATTAACTGATTTTGTTGTGTATAAATTTCATAGAATTTCTAATGTACTGGATATCTGTTTGAATCAGTTTTATGGAATCCAGTTCTTTCCTATATTGTTTGCTCATTATTTCTGTGTCATTCCTCAGGTCTCCTATTTTTTAAATCTGTATCTACCATAGATTCACTAACCACTACCTTCATTTTGGTTATCATCTCTTTAATTATCTGTGTAATTATTCCTGATTTGGTTTTTAGAGACTTGTTCATCTGCTTTGTTACTTCTGCTACTACGATTTCAGAAATTTCAGTTAGATAGCTTTCAAATTCCTCTACTTTATTGCCCTCTGGATTTGTTTTGGGAAAGTTGTTGTTTTGGATTGACATTTTTGTTTCCATGATTTCTCACTTTCTATTTTGTTGTTGCTGTTTTGTATATTCATTTTCTGCACTGAGGTTTGTAAATTTCTTATGGTAGGTAATTTTATTACTAAAATACAGACCTCTCTGTGTAATGACTACTTTACAGGGCCATCTTCTAGGCATGGCTGCACCTGCCCTTTGAGTCTGCCCCAAGATGAAAAAGACTACAACCTATATTTCAACTATTACCTGGTCCTATTGCATTGAACTGTAGTACTGTGGCCGCTAGGCAATCTAAGTATTGGTGTACAAGAGAGATCAGGTGATCACAGCAGCTATATCAATTTAGTTAAAGTAAAATAATCACTAATAACATTAGCATCAAATAAACTAAAACATGACAAATTCTCATAACTGATATGTTGTCATCGTTAACCATAGGTGAAGAGCTATATTTATATAGCAAAATTTAGACAAATCACAAAATTATATACAGCAAGTGTCCACTCAATAGAGAATTTTTATCCCCTTTTACCATAAAACAGCATTCAACTCTAGTAAAATATTGTTAGGTACTTATATATTCACACAGGTGAATGGTGTGAATGTGATATGAAGTTGAAAGAGAAAAATGAATTATGGAAAATAAAGCAATATAAGTTGTGAAGAATGTGGTAAACTAGATATAAAAGGTACTATTAAGGAGTAAAGGGAAACTAGTGGTATTAAATAACATTAACAGAGATGACCAAATAGAAAAGTGAAAAATAATGGGGAGTTCAGATTAAAGTAGAGAAAAAGGAAATGAGAAAAATGCTAAAGGAACAAGTTGGAAGAAGAAAGTGAAAAAAGGGGAGAGGGAAAGAATAGGAAGATCTCTTTAAACAAATAAATTGTAATTTAAAAGGAGGGACAAGAATATGGATGGTGAAATTCCGACCTACACTAAAAAATAAAATAGTGATAGTTAAAAAATATACCAATAAAGTTACAAAATGGAAGAAAAAGCAAGAGGAAGAAAGAGAAAGACTTCCTCTGTATTTCCAGAAGACTATCTTCTTTCCAGACCAATAGTCTTTATTTTACAAGTCACATTCCTCTTTGTCCTTCTTTATAGCCTGTGAGTTTGTATGGAGGTTATTCAGTTCAAGGATGCCTTTCTGCATAAACCAATTTGTGGCAGCTTTCCAAACTGGGAGTTCAGACCAAAGAATGTATGCCTTGGTTCTGAGACTCTTGTCATAGATTTTTGCTGGTTAGGGGCCAATGCTGGTTACCTGATATACATTCTGGTGTCCATGGTATAGAATTCTGACACCATGCAGAGACTCCTGTCAACTCCAGTTGTTCAGCAGAGAAACAAATATGCCCAAAACTTATGTAGGAAGATTTCTGCAGCCCCACTGAGAGTGTAGGACACCGGGTGGCATCTCATGGACATCGAGAGTACATTGAGGCAGAATAGGCAGGGATCAGGCATAGAGCTCTGGCTAAATGAAGGATGGAGACTTTGCTGTTCCCAGCATGGAGATAGCACTTTTGGTGCTGAATGGACATTGCCACAGTCCATGTGTAAAAGGTAGAGATTTACATGGACTTAGAACATCAAGTTGTAAAACCGAGTTGCTTGGATCCTTGAGCTAAATGTCAGATGGAGACTTCAGCAGGCCTCAATTAGAGCAGGACAGTGAAAGCTAGGTGTATGCCCAAGGGAGCCTGTACTGCTAAGTATGGACTTAAGGCAGGCCAGCTCTGTGTGCCAGATAGATGTCCCAGTTGACTTGGAAGAAACCACAGGCAATCTCTGTGGTGACTCGGGTGTGCCTGGGGTCCAATATTGAAGACTTTCAACACAAGCAGCAATCACTTTTCTACTTAGAGTCTGAGGACAAATGGACAGGTAGAAGAAGCTTTGATCACTCACCTCTGCTGTGTGCTGGTGAAATGCTACCAAACTGCAGCCTCTTCTGCATTTGATGAGGCTAAGGGCCTGTATGCCCCAAGTCTAGACTATGCTGGTAGACTCTGTTGAGCAGTTTGGATCCTGCCACCTATTACAGAATTGATGCTTTGGGTGATAGGCATGGGCAGGGGCCTTCTGGGCCATGCCTATGGGCCTGCCTCTTTTCTAAGCTCTTATATGTATGTTTAGTTTAATTTACACATCTCTTCCTTAAAATTGATTTTTTTTTTTTTTTGCATGATGGTTATATTTTCTTTCTCCTCTTCCAATTACTTGTGTTTTTAGTTCATCTTCTCTGAGTCTTTCGGAAGTGATTCCTCCTCTATTCAGCCATGTTCAAATCCTTCTTGTCTGCTTTTGCGACTCCATTGAAATGTTATATACCTTTAATAAAAAGTGAATTTAGGTAATGGTTTAAAATAATTGCCCTAACATTTTGCTTAGTTATTCACTATTTGAAAATGTGCTGTTTTAAATTATTTTATTACTATTTTCATGAAAGATTTTATTTTACAAGTAAACTGATTTTTTTCTTATTATCAAAAGTTTTCATACTTTTTTATGAATAATGCTATGAATGTACAAGTTGACTCTGAGCTTTTACATGTATACATATGTTAATAGCAGCACAACTCATAGTAGCTAGATCATGGGAGTAGACCGTATGTCCAGACAAAGAAACAGAAAAAGAAAATATATTTATGTACCATGAATTACTCTGCAATAAAATATAGACTTGATTCATTTGTAGGAAAATGAATGGAACTTGAGACCAAAACCTTAAAGTGAAATAAATCAGACACACAAACTTAAATATCACATGGTTTCCCTTATATGAGAAATCCAAATCACAAAAAGAGCAAAATACAATCTAACATTAAGTAAGAAGATCATTCTTAAATGGGAAGAGGGATTAAAAAATAGAGGAGAGAGAGAGAAGGAAGGGAAGGAAGTGCAAAAAGACATTAAGATGTGTTATATACATGTACTATCACGAAAAGGGAACATATAAACATTATATGATGTGAACATATACCCAAAAAAAGTGATCAAAGTATATGGGGAAATAAGGAATTTAAAAAAAAAAAGGAATTGCTATTTATATACACATACTACCATCTCACAGGGAATGTAAACATCATATCCTACACATATGTACTAATAAGCTAAAATTAAAAACTACAGAATTCAGTCCTGGGAGCTGAATGTGTGTGACTTAAATCACAATGCACTGAAAAGCCTTGGAACAACTCACCCAGGTGGCAAGACCACACCCAGGGTCCCAAACCACAGGAAGATGCACTACAGGTCCCCTCAGGGCTAACTGGGCCATGCCCAGTGACCTCCAATCAGCTAGCAATTGCCTGAAGCCTACCCTGGGAGCCAAAAGTGGGCCAGGTGATTCCTAGTACACTGGGGAACCTTTGGAACATCACTCAAAATCCAGAATTATAGGAAAATGACAAAACAAAAGACCAAAATGCAATCTTAAACTTTCAGACTAAGCCAAGCAAGCCTAAGAGACATAGACACAGAAGAAAATGTAAGCCATACAGCTGAAATTCCTGAAATAATAAAAACTAAAATACAGAAACAACTCTGAGAATCTATAAAAGAACTCAGATCAGAAATAATCTCCTAGGTAGAAGAAGAAATGATAAATGTAATAAAAGATATGCGGAACACATCTGAAGAAGACCTACTTAAAAAATTATAGCAATAATGCAAAAAGATGGAAACTCTGAATGAACAATATAAGAAACAAATGGAATGTATGTAGCAGATTCAAAGAGATATACAAAAAATGAAAAGTTCCATTGGAAGTTGGTAAAATCACCTCAGTGAAAGTGAAGACAATGTCAGAACTTGGAGACAAGATTGCAGCTAGTGAATAGGAAAGGAAAGATCTTTTAAAAATAACAAGGAATCGGAAAATAACAATTCAACAGCTGTAAGATAATGCAAAGAAAAACACTATAACATTACCAGGTATAAACAAAAAAGAAGGTGATGACACAAATGATATCAAGAGGCTACTTAGAGATAGATATAATAGCTAAAAATTTCCCAAACATGAGAATAGAAACTGACATAAATATCAGTGTATAATATAGAACTCCAAATAGTCATAACCAAAATAAAACTACACCCAGGCATATAATAATCACCATCCCAGAAATCCAGGATAAGAACAGAATATTAAACCCTGCTAGAGGGAAAAGACAGATCACCTATAAAGGAAAACCTATCAGAATCACAGCAATCTCAACACAAAAAATGAAGTCAAGAAAAGCATGGAGTGAAGTATTTCAGATCCTAAAGAAAAATGATTTCCAACCTGGACTGATGTTGGAGAAATAAGACACTTCCACTTCAAAGAACAGCTAAAGACCACCATGACCACCAAATCAACCCTGCAAAGAATACTGAAAGACATTCTAGATAGATATAGGAAAAAAACCACTAAACACGGCAAAGGATTCAAAAGAGTGAAAAGGTAAAGAACCAACTGCAGAAGATAACATTTCAAAAATAAACTAATATATAACAGTAATAACCATTAATGTAAATGGCCTCAATTCAGCAAATAAAAGAAACAGACTGCCAGAGTGAATCAAAAAACAAAATCCAAAGCCTGGCATACTGGCTCACACCTGTAATCCCAGCATTTTGGAGGCTGAGGCAGGAGGATCCAAGGCTGAGTTTGAGACCAGCCTGGGCTACAAAGTGTGCTCAAGGCTAGCCTGAACTACTAGGGAGACCATGTCTCAAAAAAAAAAAAAAAAAAAAAAAAAAAAAAAAAAAAGAAAAGAAAAGAAAAATCCAACCATATACTGTATACAGGAAACCAATCTATCCCAAAAACTCATAGACTGAAAGTCAAAGGATGAAAAACAATACTCCATGGAACAGGATCACCAAAAAAATCAGGGGTGGCCATTCTGTTTGCAGACAATCTGAAATTCAAACCCAGAATGATCCAAAGAGAAAAGAAGGTCACTACATACAAGTTATGGGAAAACTTCAAGAGTAAGAGATGACAATTATAAATATATATGCATCAAATTCAAGAACCCCCAGCTATACAAAAATATTAACAGAAATGAAAACTCAAGCAATAACACAATTATAACAGGAGATCTTAACATGCCATTGAAACAAAGGGACAGATCAAATACACAAAAAATCAGCAAAGAAATAACAACTGGATCACACCTGTGAAAAAATGGACTTGATAGACATATACAGTCTTCCACCTAACAACATCAAAATATACATTCTTCTCAGGAGCACATGGAACATTCTCTAAAATAGTCTATATACTAGCCCACAAAACATACTTAAGTGCAAAAGAATTGAAGTTATCCCATGCATGATATCAGATCATAGCACCATGAGTCTAAAAATTAATGACAGAATACTCTGCAAAAACCACACAAACACATAGAAATTGAATAATACACTCCTGAGCAATCAATGGGTCACAGAGGAAATTAAAGAAGAAATTAAATATTTACAAGCAAACAATACAAATACATCTTACCAGGACACATGGGATACAATGCAAGAAGTCCTCAGAGGAAAAGTTATTGTTTTGAACTCCCACATGAGGAAAACAGAATGAACACAAATAAGCAAACTGATGTTACACCTCAAACATCTAGAAAAAGAAGAGCAAGTCAAGCCCCAAACCAAAAGAAGGGAGGAAGTTACAAATGTCAGAGCAGAAATAAATGCAACAGAGACTAAGAAAACAGTACAAAGAATCAGTGAATCAAACAGTTTGTTCTTTGAAAGAATAAATAAAATTGATAAGCCCCTAGCCAACCTTATTTTATAAGGAAGAAAAAGCTCAAATTCGTGCAATAAGGAATGAAAATGGTAAAATCACTACAGACCCTGTGGAAATACAGAAGATCATCAGTACGTATTTTGAAAACATCTGCTCTCCTAGGCTTAATATCATAGAAAAAAAAAAAAAGGAACAGAATCCTAGAAACATACAAATTACCAAAGCTGGCTCAAGAAGATGTAAAACTGCTGAATAATCCAAATTCAATTAATGAAATTGAAAATGTAGTTAAATCCTACAAAGTAAAGCCCAGATCCGGACAGATTCACTACGGAATTCTACAAGAAATTCAAAGATTTGCTGCTGACACTCCTCAAACTCTTCAATGAAATTGGAAGGGAAGCAGTTATCTCTAACTCATTCCTGGAATAATATTACTAATGAGCAAGTATTACTCTTGCTGAGAAAGACCCAACGAAAAAGGAGAACTAGAGGCCAATTTCACTAATGAACATAAATTCAAAAATTCTCAATTAAATATTGGCAAAGAGAATGCAGCAAATCAAGAATATTATACACAATGACCAAGTGAGATTTATCCCAGGAATGCATAGATGGTTCAAAATATGGAAATCAATAAATGTGATCAACTATATCAATAAAGCCACAAGTAAGAACCACTTGATCATTGCTATCAATGCAGAAAAATCTTTTGATAAAGTCCAACACTTATTCATGATAAGAATCATACAGAAAATTGGAATAAATTGTCTTTACCTCAATATGATAAACCATCTATGACAAACCAACTGCTAGCATCATATTAAATGGCCAAAACTGAAAGCCTTTGCCCTAAAATCAGGAACAACACAACAGTGTCCTTTATCACGACTTGTAGTCAATATAGTGCTGGAAATACTAGCCAGAGCAATTAGACAAGAGGAATAATTAAATAGAATAAGGATAGGAAAATAAGTTAAATTATCATTATTGGCAGATGACATGATACTGTATATAGAAGACCCCAAAATCTCCATTGAAACAGTCCCAAATATAATAACTAAATTCATTAATGTAGCTGGATAAAAAGTTAACACTCGGGGCTGTAGATTTAGCTGAATAGCATAAGCACCTGCCTTGCAAGCAGGGGCTGTAGATTTAGCTGAATAGCATAAGCACCTGCCTTGCAAGCAGGCAGTCGTGAGTTCGATCCCCAGTACCGATAAAATGAAAAAGACAAAAAAGAAAAAAAGTTAAGACTCATAACACAATAGGACTCCTATACACTAACAGTAATACCACTAAGAAAGAAATAACAGCTGGGAATTTAGCTCAGCAGCATAAGCACCTGCCTTGTAAGCAGGCAGTCGTGAGTTTGATCCCCAGTACTGATAAAAAGGAAAAAGACAAAAAAAAAAAAAAAGAAAGAAAGAAAGAAAGAAAGAAATAAGAGAAGATATACCCTTCATGATAGTGTCAAAAAAAAAAAAAAAAGGAAATAGGAATTAACAAAAGAAGTAAAATATCTATTCAGGGAAAATTATAATACTCTGAAAAAAAGAAATTGAAGAGGACCACCGAAAATGGAAAGACAACTCTTCTTCATGGATAGGAAGAACAAACATTGTGAAAATGGCCATTCTTCCAAAACTTCTATACATATTTAATTCATTCCCAATCAAAATACCACTAGTATACCTCATAGACCTACAGAAATCACTCCTAAAATTCATCTGGAATCAGAAGAGACCTAGAATCACGCAGGCAATTCTAAACAACAAAGGGAAGGCAGGAGGCATCACAATCCCTGACTTGAATTTATACTACAAAGCTACTATAATAAAATCTGCATGATACTGGAAGAAAACAGATCTCAAGGTCAATGGAATAGAAGATACAACTACAAACACACTCAGCCACCATGCCTTTGATAAAGGGGCCAAACATGTCCACTGGAAGAAAGATACTCTCTTCAATAAATGGTGGTAGAAATGTTGGCTCTGCATATGCCAAAAACTAAAACTAGACCCATGCCTATCACCATGTACTAAACTAAAGTCTAAATTAATCAAAGATCTGATTACAATATAGAAACACTAAATCTGTTGCAAGACAAAGTAGGTAGAAATCTTGAAGACATGGGGTAGATAGAGAAACAAACTGCATGTGAAATACTTCACAGAATCAATATTTGGAATCACGTTCTATTAAAAAAGTTTTGCATGTTGAAAGAAATCTCCAGCATAGTGAAAAGCAAATTGACAAATTTGGAAAAAATTTTAGTGAACAGTCCCTCACACAAAGGACTTCTGTCTAGAACGTATAGCTTTTTTTAAAAAAAAAAATCAGATCCACGAAATTCAAATGCCAACTCCAATAATGTGCATCTGAGGTGAACACACAGTCCTCAGATGAAGAAATGCAAGTAGCAAACAAATACATGAAACAGTGTTCCTCATCATTGGTCATTAGAGAAATGCAAATAAAAACCACACTAACATTCCATCTTCCTCCAGAAATAATGGCCAGGATAAAGAAAACTACCATCAACAAATGATGGAGAGGCTGCAGGAATAAGGAACTCTTCTGCACTTTTGGTGTGTGTGCAGATTGGTACAACCACTTTGGAGGTTAGTTTAGAGGTACCTCAAAAATCCGATTGGAAGTCCCATTTCACCCAGCTATGCCACTTTTGGGAATATTTCCAGAAGAACTGAAAACAACAGATATATGTGCACCCATGTTTATAGCAGCACAATTGGTAATAACCACATCTTGAAAACAACTTAAATGTGCATCAACTGATGAATGGATAAAAAAAATTGTGGTATTTTTATACAGTGGAGTACTACTCAGCTCTAAAGAATGATCACATTGCGATGTTTTTTTCAGAACAGAACAATTTAAGCAACATAGTGTTTCACCACAAGACAACCTGACATAACAATAGCTACCATAGTGTCTCTTTCTTTGAAATATTTGAGTATATCTTCATATACTATAGTATCAAACATAACAAGACGGTGTAAAACTATTCAAGAGAATGAAAGTATTACAGGGTATTCAGAACCAACTAACAGAAAATGAACAATGGTTACTATATTATCTCCTTATCCATAAAAATTTTTGTTTATACTATCACATCTAATAAAATCCAATAAGATATAACATGATAAAACTGATGGAGACAGAAGAACAAAAGTTTGGTGAGACTTCAAAACAAGATGATATTAAATCACTACTAGCTATTATAATGTCCTGTTTTCTTCAAAAACAGCTGTTTATAACATCACAGACAATAAAATCAAACAACCTAGAATAAAACCATTCCATCTAATGAATGAAAACATTATAAAGCTTCCAAGCAATATAGTGGGGAATCATTATTACCACATTCTTTTATATATTCTTACCATTTTTAAAACTACATCCATTTCATTGAGATATTTTTAAGTAAGGGAATGCAACTTGAGATCATACTCATAAGTGAAATAAACCATATTCACATGCGTAAATACCATATAGTCTCCCTAGTGTATGAAATGATAAGAATACATAACATACAAAGACTCAATAAATACAGTGATAGGGTAAGAATGTACTTAAACGGTAAAAATAACATCTCAGGGAAAACAATGAAAAAAGCGGAAGGGAAAAATACATCTAAAATTATATAAACACATTTAGGATAGCTAAGATGATTATGCTACAAAATATAATTTCTTGGAACAAAATAGTTAACATTCATAGGACTGAAACAATTGTACATGTATAGTGATCTGAGGAACTCTTGAAGATCAGTATGTAAAATAATAACTCTAGTTATGCTCATACCACCTTGTTTGTCAGGTCTGTATTGTCACTGTTTTGTGCTCCTTCCTATTGTTATTTATTTGTTTTTTGGGGGGATGGGGTCTGGTGGTTTTCTAGGAATTTGTTTTGTTTTGTTTTGTTTTTCCCTCTAATACAGAAAGGATAGGTATACATGTAGAGACTCATGCATGCGTAGAACTTCTCCTAAACACTTATGAGAATTGATTATATAATGCATGATGAAATGGACAGCTACTTTGAAGAAAAAAAGACAGTAAGGTTCCCAGGGCTGATTCTGTAGTGTCATGCTGTGAAATCCGGAGATACTATTATTCTTGGTCAGAGTGATTTTAGTCTGTTTTGTATTGTTTAATTTCAACATACATGAAGATATGGACAGCCATTTTGAAGAGAACAAGAGACATTATGGCAGCCATTGTTGACTTCCCTGTTGTCTGGTTTTCAAGACCAAAAATGCTTTCATTA